GGAACCCAGGGTGCCTGTGTATACTAGGCAAGCTACTGAGCCACACCCCAAGTCCTTGATTTTTTTTTGCGGGTGGGGGGCGCGGTACTGGGGTTTGAACTCAGGGCCTCACTCTTGCTAAGCAGGCGCTCTACCACTTGAGCCGCTCCACCAGCCCCCTCAAATTATTTTTAAAGAGACAGGGTCTCACTATTGTTACCTAGGCTGGCCTCCAACTCGTGGGCTCAGGCAGTCCTGCCATGTCAGCCTCTGGAGTAGCTGGGGCTGCAGGCCCATACCACCACACTGGCCTCTTCTCTATTGTAAAATGGCCTGGGGTCTTCATAAACTCCAGTTCTGCAGTATAGATGTGGGTTCCAATTATCCACGTTTTCCAGTGGAGTAGCTTTAATAAATAGACTTCCTTGGTGGGGGGGGGGTTGGCTCCAGGGCCCCCCACCATGATACCAAAATCCCTGGATGCTCAAGTCCCTTCTGTAAAATGACAGCATTTGCACAGAACCCACAAACACACCCCTGTGCACTTTAACCTGTCTCTAGGTGACTTATAACAGCTGATACAGTGCTAATGTTGTGTTGATAGCTGTTATACTGTGCTGTTTAGGTAATAAGGACTGGGAAAAAAATTTCTGTACATGTTTAGGTCACACTTATTTTTCCCCCAATGCTTTTGATCTCAGATTGGGTGAATCCACACACACAACCCATATATACAGAAGGCTGACTATATTACCCGTTTTTTGTTTGGTTGGGGTTTTTTTGTTGTTTGTTTGTTTGTTTGTTTTCACTATTTGTTGTCTTTTGTGGGATTGGAATTTGAATTTTACTATTTGGTGTGTTTTGTTTTGTGGCACTAGGGTTTGAACTCAGGACTTCACACTTGCAAAGCAGTCCACTTTGCTCTGATTATTTTGGAAGTGGGTTCTCAAGAACTATTTGCCTGGGCTGGCCTTGTATTTCATCCTCCTGATCTCAGCTTCCCAAAAACTAGGATTACAGGTGTGACCTTCTGGTGGCTATTTGATATTATTTTTAATATCTCAGGCTGGAAGGTGAGATCTAAGCACTTTTTTTTTTTTGTCCGAGACAGGGTCTGACTATGTAGCCCAGGTTGACCTTCAGCTCTTGATCCCCCAGCCTCAGCCTCCCGAATGCTGGATGACAGGCGAGTGCCACCACTCCCGGTTGCACCTGCTTTTTCTTTGCGGTGAAGTGGAACTTACTGCTGTGCCAATTTATGTTTTTTTCCTCACTATTTAAAAACTCCGGGGTGTTGGGGTGGGGGTGACTCAGTGGTAGAGCACTTGCCTAGCATTCCAGAGGCCCTGGGTCCCATCCCAGAACCACCAAAAAAAATAGAATAAAAAATAAAATGAAATAAAGTCCTGGGAAAGACAACAAATGAGGAGGAGAAAGATTATGTTAAGAAAAACAAGGCAGACACCAGGGACAAACACTGTGAGACTCCCTTCCCAGGAGGTCCCTAGAGTGTCAGGTCTTCAGAGACAGGAAGCAGGATGGTGGGTGTCAGGGGCGGGGGAGAGGAGGGGACTTAGTGATTAATGGGGACAGAGCTTTTCCCAGGATTTTAAATCAGGGGCCCTGAGTCCATGTGTGTCCTGACTTCTTCTGTATGGCTATACAGTGTGATTATGTGTTTTGTTGTTGTTGTTTTGGTTTTTTTTTTTTTTTTTGGGGGGGTGGTGGTACTCAGGGCCTCACTCTTGGTAGGAAGGCGCTTTACCACTTGAGCCACTCCACCAGCCTTCTTTTTTGTTGGGTATTTTCAAGCTAGAGTCTCCTGAACTATTTGTCTGGTCTGGCTTCTAACAAAGATCCTCCTGATCTCTGCCTCCTGAGTAGCTAGTATTATAGGTGTGAGCCACCAGCACCTGGCTGTGTTTGCTTTTTTTTTTTAATGTGAACTTATTTCCAAGATTTAAAAAATAAAAATCAGGAGGTCAGGAGTGTGGCACAGTGGTAGAGCACTTGCCTAGTATGCATGAGGCTCTAGGTCCGTCCCCAGGAACACAAAAAATATTTTGTAATAAAAAATAAACCAGAAGGTTGACATAACCGGTATTTGCTCTTGGCTCCTCATGTGAGTTCAAGGCTGGGTTTGGAGTCAGCTGGCTCTGCCACGCCCTGGACTGGGGCTGCATTTGGACGCGTACATGGCCAAGTGTCTCACACAGCCCTGCCCTGTCTCCACTCTGCCTGCGTGGAAGGCTCTCAGTTCTTTACTGAACTTGAGTGTTACCCATGAACTTGAGGAAGTAGTTGCCTCTTATGTCAAAAAATTTACCAGTTGAAGGGACTTAAAATTCTTTGGTCTTAAGTGTCAGGAAGGGGATGTCCTGAGGAAATGAGGACATGAAAGCCACGCGTGGCTGGGAAGGCACAGGTGGACTCCAGGAACTAGGAACCCCCATGCAGCAGAAACTGGATTTTTGTTTTGTTGTTTTTGTTTCTGTGGCGCTGGGGATGGAACCCAGGTTCTCACACACGCTAGGCAAGTGTGTACCACTGAGCTACACTCCCAGCCACAAATCGAACTTTAATCCAGACTGCTGCTCTGTCCCCACTCCAGCTTGAGCAGCTCACATCCTGGCAGATGTGCCTTTGTTGCCAGACCAACCTGGGTGGTCCTTTTTTATTAAACTTTATCTGAGAAAACAGATACAAAGTTTTTTTTTTTTTTTTTTTTTTTTTGTGGTACTGTGGTTTGTACTCAGAGCCTTATATGTGCCAGGCAGGTGCTCTACCACCTGAGCCACATCCCCAGTCCTTTTTGCTTTGGTAATTTTTCAGATATTTTCTCATTTATACCCTGGCTGGCCTGGACTTCGATCCTCTAATTTACGCCTTCCCTGTAGCTGCAGTGACAGTCATGTGCTATCATGCCCAGCTATTGGTTGAGAAGAGGGTCTCTTAAACTTTTTGCTTAGACTTTCCTCAATCTATGATCTTCCCAATCTGTTCCTCCTGAGTGGCTGGGATTATAGACATACACCATCACACCCAGCCCATTTGAATTACTGTAAAATGACTAGTCCAGCCTCATCAAGCAATGTATGTTGTATAGGCATCACCACCGTCCATCTGAAGAACTTCCTCATCTTCCCCAACTAAACTTCTGCCAGGGTGGAGTTTTTATTTTCATTTTTAAAATTCTTTTGTGGAACTAGGAATGGAATTCAGGGCCTCACACATACTAGGTAAGCATTCTACCACTGAGCTACATCTCCAGCTCCAAATTTTAATTTTTTAATAACACTGTCTCTTTTTCCTGATTATTAAAGCAATACCTACTTCGTGTTAAGTTAAGAAAGGAGTCTGCCAGGTGCCGGTGACTTACACCTATAATCCTAGCTACTCAGGAGGCAGAGATCCAGGAGGATCTCGGTTTGAAGCCAGCCTGGGCAAATAGTTTGTGAGACCCTATCTCCCTATCTTGAAAAACCCTATCACAAAAAATTGGGCTGGTGGAGTGTCTCAAGGTGTAGGCACTGAGTTCAAACCCCAGTACTGCCAAAAAAAAAAAATAAAAGAAAATAAAAGAAGGGAGTCTGGTACTTCCACGTGTTAGCCATATAATTTTATATGCTATTTCTTGTAAAAAAAATCAATAAAGAAGAGGACAGCTGGGAACATAGCAAGGCCCTGAGTTCCATCCCCAGCACCACAAAAAAAAAAAAAAAAAAAAAGTTAAGCCAAGCATAGTGGTACACACCTGTCATCTGACTGAGTTAGGAGAATCACTCGAGCACATGAGTTGGAGGCCAACCTGGGCAGCAAAATCCCACTCCCACCCCAAAAAAATACAAGGTATATTTGCATGTATATACCTGCCACAGGAGATTGGGAGTATCTGCATTCAAGGTCAGGCCAGGCAAAAATTTACCAAGACCTCATCTCAATAAACAGATATGTATGTGGGGTACATCTTAGATCCTGGCTACAAGGGAGGCACAGGTAGGAGGATCAGGATCCAAGACTAGTCTCGGGCAAAAACAACTTGGAACCTGACCTGAAAAATAACTAAAGCCAAAAAGTCTGGGGACATGGTAGAGCACCTGACTAGCAAGTAGGAAGTCCTGAGTTCAAACCCCAGTACTGCCAAAAAAAAAAAAAAAAAAAAGTATGTATGTATATATGTAAATATAAGTTTCTGATTCTTGTGACTCAGCAAAGGGCTCCAAGCCCTTTATTTCATATCACCTTCATTAGTGTGCACCATGACCGTGCCCTGAGGAAGGAAATGTCATTTGAGGCCCAGAGAGGTCACATGACTTGGCCCAGGTCATGCAGCTCACAGGTGACAAGTTTGACTCTGTTCTGACCACTGTGTTCTCAGCTATGATCAGATCTTTATTCCAGAGAATACTCACTATGACGTCGAGTGGCGTGTGGTCTCAAGCCAGGATTAGGGACCTCCCTGGCATTGACCACCTTCAGCCCAGACAACATACGGGGATTGGAATAATGGCATACCACCTTCCAGAATGGAGACTGAGCTTCAGAAAAAAAAAGTCTACCACTTGCTTGCTGGATGACTTTGGCAACTCTGTACCTCATTTTCCTTCTCTGCAATATTCTGACCTTGTCACAAGGCAGGAAGATTTGATGGCATAATGTAAGAATCAGCCCTCAAATAGCCAGGCAGGTGCTCTACCAATTGAACCACACCCCCAGCCCTTTTTGCCTTAGTTATTTTTTTGAATAGGGTCTTCAGTGTTTGCCTGGGGCCAATCTGAACCTTGACTTTTACCTATGCCACCCATGTAACCAGGATTACAGTGGGAACCACCATACCCACCTTCTCTATTGAGATGGAATCTCGATAACTTTTTGCCCGGGCTGGTGTCATACCTTGATCCTCCTGATCTCTGCCTTCCAACACAGGTGCGAGCCTGTGTTGTACCCAGCAACAGCTGTTAGGACTATTGTCATTTGGTTGTTGTGACCCCCAGAGGACACCTCATTTCATGTTTCTCCAGATCTCCCACAGGGACCTATAGAGTCGTCCTCATCCCCCTCAGGGTCTGCAGCAGTCTCTGTGGCACAGATGGAGAACACAAGCCAAGTGGCCACCTGCAATGCCACCAACAGGGAGCCCACCAGGGAAGCGGCCTCTTGTGCATCATCAGAGGCCAGGGATGCAGGTGAGTATTTGCGCCCACTGAGAGGGATGGAGCCCCAGGCCACTCAGCATGGGCTGTGGCTTGAGGGACACTTGTGACACCCTTTCTTCTCCAGGCGGGCTCCCGGCAGGAGTGCGGTCCATCATGAAGCGGAAGGAGGAGCCCACAGACCCTGCCGCCCACCACAGGAGCCTCCAGTTCGTGGGGGTCAATGGCGGGTGAGCAGAGCCCTCTTCCTCACTTCATGCGAACACAGGGAAGGACATGAGCAAATAAAGACCTTATGCTCAGCCCCCCACTTTAGGGAACTCATGCAATCGAACCACAATAGGCAGATAGGGAAACTGAGGCATGAGGAAGCTGAGCACCTTGTAGGACCTTGCCCAGGGGCCCAGGAACAGGCCCTGGGCTCCAGAGCCCAGGTGGGGTAAAACTACCAGACACACTGTCCCTGGAAGGTGTGGGATTCAACTTCCAGTCCAGCAGGGTGATGGGCACTGAGGGCCGGTTCCAGCACAATGCAGTTGGAACAATGATGTAGGACAGTCAGGGCAGGGAAGGAGGAGACATGCCTGCTGCAGAACAGGTAGGAATAGGCAAGGTGGAGAACAGGGTGTGGGGAGGGCGCTGATGGCAGAGGGCACAGCCTGGGAAAAGGCTGAAGGGCAGGAGGAAACAGACATGAGAAACAGAAGCATAGAGAGCAATAGTGGATTTGAGACCATGAATGCTTAGCTCAGAAACTGAGACTTTGAGCTGTGTGTGGTGGTGCACATCTGTAATCCCAGCATTAGGAAGGTGGAAGCAGTAGCATCATGAGTTTGAGGCCAGTCTGGGATACATAACAAGACCCTGGCTCAAAAAAAAAGAAAGAAAGAAACTCAGCATTTACCCAAAAGGTTTGAGTGTAGGAGGACCTCTCAGGTGGACAACGTACAGGACCTAGGTGTGCTGGCGGCTGGAGGCAAGAGGTCCTGAAGGATTGAAAGTGCATGACCACAGCCACAGCATCCATTCTGTGCTGACTTGTGCCAGGCGCCATGAGCCACAGCCTTGTATGTTCCACACATTCACCCTCCTGCCGTGCTTGGCCTTTCTCCCCAGCTATGAGTCCTCATCGGAAGACTCCAGCACAGCAGAGAACTTCTCAGACAATGACAGTACAGAAAATGAGGCCCCAGAGCCAGAAGCCAGGGTTCCAAGTGTGGCCAAAACCAGCCGGCAAGAATGCCAGCTCTCTCGGGAGTCCCAACACGTGCCCACAGCTGAGGGGGCATCAGGATCCAACTTGGAGGAGGAGGAAATCCGGTCAGTGTCCTGGGTGGGACAGAGTCAGCACCGAGAGCAGGTGAACCTCTGCCTCACATTCCACCATGCAAGTGCTCATATCAGTCCTGCACAGCATAGTCTGAATTCGTGCAGAAGCTTTTACTCCTTCTGGGCATCTCAAGTTCTGGAGGCTTTGATAAAGGCTACCAGGCTACTGGAACTAGTATTCAGAGGGCAAAGTTTATTCTTTCCAGTCGCCTTCTTTGGGACATTTGTCCCATCATATTTATGTCTCTTATATTTTTTCCCTAGTGAAAATTCTGCCTAGGGCCAGCCTGCAGCCTGTACTCCCAGCAACTTGAGGAGGCAGAGGCAGGAGGATTGCAAGTTCAAGGCCAGCCCTGGCCTCTATCAGAAATAAAATACACAGGAGGCAGAGATAGGAAGATCATGGTCCAAATCCAGCCCAGGCAAAAGCAAAAGACCCTGTTTGAAAAACAAACTAAAAGCAAAAGGGCTGGGGAGTGACTTAAGTAGTAGAGCACCCGCCTAGCAATCACAAGGCCCTGGGTTCAATCCCCAGTACCGCTGAAAGAAAAGAAAAAAAGCCAAATCTGCCCTTAGAAAGATTTTCCATTCTCCATGAGTATTTGGAGTAAGCCAGCATGTGTGTCTATTTTGTCTTGGGATCTGTGTGCTTCTTAAAGTTCACTGTAAAGCCGTGTCCCTGGTGAAGAGGGTCTGTGATGCCACTGTTCAGGCAGGACTTTGTGGCACCACCATGCCTGGCAGTAAACTTGTTGTCTGTACCTGCAGGATGGAACTGAGTCCCGACCTCATCTCGGCCTGCCTGGCCCTGGAGAAGTACCTGGACAATGCCAACGCCCTCACTGAGCGGGAGCTGGTACGTCGGGGGGAGGGGCTGCCATGCTTCCATCCTGGGGTGTCTGCTCTTAAGACCTTCAAGGGTCTTATGGGGACAGGGCTCTGACACTTCCCCTTGGAGGGCCTCATCAGGACAAGGGTACCATGGATTGCTCCAGGGGTGTCCTCCTTGCCATCCTCACACGCCTCTCCCACACTCCACGTCCAGAAAGTGGCCTACACCACAGTGCTGCAGGAGTGGCTGCGCCTGGCCTGCCGCAGTGACGCACACCCTGAGCTCGTGCGGCGCCACCTGGTCACCTTCCGGGCCATGTCCACACGGCTGCTGGACTACGTGGTCAACATCGCCGACAGCAACGGCAACACAGCACTGCACTATTCCGTGTCACACGCCAACTTCCCCGTGGTGCAGCAGCTGCTGGACAGCGGTGAGCCTGGCGGGTGAGGCGAGGGGCTGGGCCGGCAGGTCACCGTCATCCTCGGCTTGATGGTCCGATGGGGAGACATGCCTTCCCAGTCTGATGGCGGAAAGCGTGCCTTCCTGGTAGTCTGATAACAGGGTGCTGGCCTCCTGGTTTGTGTGGGTGGGGAGACTGATGGAGGACACGCCACCTTCTTGGTGTGGTGGCAGGACTGTGGCCCTCATAGTCTGATAGAAGAGGCTCTGGCCTCCCAGTCTAGTGGAGGAGGCACAGTCCTCACCTTCATCTGATACGCTACGGAAGGCAGACGTGACTTCATGGCCCTTTGTCATCCCCAAATGCCCTGTATGATGGAGACCACCTTTCCGAAGGCCTTTTGTGAGATACAGCTGTGGCTCTGTTGTGGGGCTTGCCTCAGTCAAGCGGGAAGAAACTCACCCTTTGCTAGTCTGATGGGAAGGACAAGCCTCCCAATCTCACGAAGTAGCAGAACCCACAGGCTGGTCTGAAGGCCGAGGCAGCCTTTCTGATCCACACCGGAGGCCCACCTCCTGTTGGGGCACCATCAATCAAGTGCCCCAACTCTGATAGAGGAGGCACAGTGTACCCTTTAGGGGACAAAACAATCGAGTTGGAGACCCTCTGCCCCACAATGAGGAAAGGGAGGAACGAAGCCATGTACAGACGGAGGGAGACATGATACATTGGGGTAGACTGAATCTAGGCTTTCAGTCTAATGGCAGAGGCCTGGCCTGATGGGAGGGCTCGCCACCTTGTCCCTGCCTCTCCCTCCCACTCAGGCGTCTGCCAGGTGGACAAGCAGAATCGTGCCGGCTACAGCCCAATCATGCTCACCGCACTGGCTACACTAAAGACCCAGGATGACATTGAGACTGTTGTTCAGCTCTTCCGGCTTGGTGATGTCAATGCCAAGGCCAGCCAGGTACTGGGCCTGCACCACTGTGCAGCCAGGCATCTCTTTCCCCTTCACTAAGTCCAGACTGTGTGCCAAGCCCAGTTGGGACCTCATTTCTTGTCTGTAGGTGGAGACACTGAGGCTCAGAGAAGCAGAGTCATTTCCTCAAGGTCAAAGTCAAGGAGTTGGGATTTGAAACCAGAAGCTCCCGGCTTCTGGCAACCATTAGCCTGCTTTCTGTCTTTGTGGATTTACCTGGTCTCAACATTTCCTAAAAACAGGGCTGGCAGAGGGGCTCAAGCAGTAAGAGTGCCTGCCTAGCAATTGTGAGGCCCTGAGTTCAAACCCCAGTGCTGCCAAAATCAAACAAACAAAAAGACATTTCCTAAAAATGAAATTATGCCCAGAACCAGTCTGTGGCCAGGAGGACCACAATCCTCCTGGTTGCACTTCCTGAGTAGCTGGGATCACAGGCATGCACCATCACACACAGCTTTTTATGGATTAAGATGGGGTCTCTTGAACTGTTTTGTCTGGGCTGACCTGGAACCTTGATTCCCCTGATGTCAGCCTCCCAAGTAGCTCGGATTACAGGCATGAGACACTGTGCCCTGCTCCATTTAACTTTTTATTTGAGGTATAACTGATACACAGTATGTGTACAGGTTGTAGTTGGATATTTTTTTTTTTTTTGGTGGTAATGGGGTTTGAACTCAGGACCTGATGCTCTACCACTTGAGCCATGCCGCCAGCTCAGGATAAATTTTGATATATATTTACACTTTGGAGCTGGGAGTCTGCAATAATAGGTGGGCATGGGGTGGGCAGAGCCCCTCTAAGGAGACATTTAATCTGAGACCTGAGGGATGAGAATGAGCCATGCAGAGGAAGGAGTGATCAACAAGTGTGAAGGCCCAGTGGTAGGAAGGGTTGTCTGAGTTACAGCAAGTAGGGGTGTGTGTCAGTATCAGAGTACTTGTGAACCATGGAAGGTTCTGGAGCAGAGGTGTGATCTGTGTGGGACAGAGCTTTTTCCTTGCTCCACCCAGGCAGGACAGACTGCCCTGATGCTGGCAGTCAGCCATGGCCGGGTGGATGTGGTCAAGGCCCTCCTGGCCTGCGAGGCGGACATCAACGTGCAAGATGATGATGGCTCCACGGCGCTCATGTGCGCCTGTGAGCATGGCCACAAGGAGATCACAAGGCTGCTGCTGGCCGTGCCCAGCTGCGACATCTCCCTCACTGACCGCGTGAGTCCCCCTCCACCCCCCAGGAAGGCAGGTGCTTTCCCACCCCCGGGAAGGCAGGTATGGTACGGCCCAGGTATCAACATAGTTGTGGGTACCTTGCAGGACGGGAGCACTGCTCTAGTGGTGGCCCTGGATGCAGGGCAGAGCGAGATCGCATCCATGCTGTACTCACGTATGAACATCAAGTGCTCGGTGAGTTGTCTGCAGCACAGTGCTGGGGATCTGGGGGCACGGGTGTATGTGAGGAGCGTGCCCCATAGTGGGGACGGCACGATTGCCCATGTGTTGTGCATTCCCGTGCTTTGGTGAGGAGGTGAGGCACGGCAGTGAAGGCTGTGTGGTCACGGTCGGCATCGTGCTATTGAAGCCCAGGTCTTTCTGGTTCTCAGTGCATGCTCCTAGTCACCAGGCACTCATTCAAGAAATAGACACTCCAAGCCAGGTGCAGCAGCTCACATCTGTAGTCCCAGTTTCTCAGGAGGCAGAATTGCAAAGGATCAGGGTTCCAGGTTAACCTGGGAATAAAGTTATCAATGTCCCCCCCACAACCAATAAGCTGGGTGTGGTGGTACACTCCTGACATCCCAGCTACACAGGAGGGTGAGGCAGGTGGATCGGGAATTCCAGCCTGGGCTACACAGCAAGACCCTGTCTCAAACGATCACATATGCACTACTGGGGCTTGAACTCAGGACCTGCATTTGAGCCACTCCACCTGCCCTTTTCTGTGATGAGTTTTTTTGAGACAGGGTGTCGTGAACTATTTGCCCAGGCTGGCTTCGAACCACAATCCTCCTGGTCTCTGCCTCCTGAGTAGCTAGGATTATAGGCGTGAGCCACTGGCTCCTGGTTAAAAATCTCATTTAAAAAAAAAAATTGCACATGTTAGCAACACATTCATCCAGGAACATAACGGAGTAGTGGTACTTCTGTGCGCTCAGGGCCTGATAGAGGAAACAGAACCTCCCAGTGGACGGGCCGTCTGCTGCGCATCTCCCACGGCTGGGACTGCAGCCCAGTGGCGAACGCTTGCCTGGCGTGAGCGAGGCCCTGAGATCCGTCCCCAGCATCCCCAAAGAAACCCCAAACAACAAACTTCTGCCTGCCTCCCTGACTAGATTTCTTCATCCTCCCTGTGATACAGTTGCAAAAAAAGGCCCTTTTTTTTGAGACAGAGTCTCACTAGCCCAGTCTGGCCTGGAACTGCTAATCCTCCCGCCTGCTCCTGAGTGCTGGGAGTAAAAGTAGACACCACCATGCCCGGTGAAAGCATTGTTCTTGTTCCATTTCTGAGGCTCAGAGAAGTTAGGTCTCTGCCTCAAGGTCTCATACCAGGGGAAGGGTGGAGGTTCTGGGATCCACCTGCCTCCACGCTCCTCAGCTCCCCTTCTCCCAACCTCATTTTAGACACATTGGGCCTGGACTCAAGGGTGGCATGGTGGGTGTCACTATAGCAACTCCCCAGGGAGACTGAGAGGGAGGAGGTTGTGGAGACTTAAGACTTCACCTCCTCCTCACCCTGAAGTTCTTACTGAACTGTGTCCCCCCACCCCAATCCCCTCTTCTGGGTGTCAGGACCCCTGAGCCTCAGTCCTGGCACGTCTGTGGGCTTCTGTTTCCTGGTTAAGTCCTAAGTGGACCTGCTGTGTGACCAAGGGACAATACTGATCCATCAGAGTCCACGTGGCTCACTCGCTGCTGCTTCCTCCACCCAGCTTCCCCAGCTTCTGCCCTCACCCCGCTGCTAGCCTTCCCTTCCCACAGCAGTGTTTGTGGACACCTGCGCCAGGGCACCTCCCTCTCCACAGCCCCTGTCTCACTTGGAGAAAAGGCAGCATCCTCCCCAAAGGCCACCAGGCCCTGCACAGTGCCCCTCATCTCCCCGACCCCCCACCCGCCCAGCTACACAGGCCTCATTGCAGTTCTCTTCCATCCAACCCTAGGGCCTTTGCACTCGCTCTTCCCCCTAACTGGGACCCTTTGTTGGCCCCTTGACATTGTTCAGGGTTAGCTCACTTGTCATCCTTCCTGCCTGCCCCCTCTCTCCTAACTTCATTTGTGTGACCTCCTTGAGGCCAGGGACTCCTCCCTCTTCCCCACCTACCATGTCTACCATGTTGACCCCAAAGTCAGAGCTTCCTGGTAAGGATCTGAAAGGGCGCCAAGCAACAAGGATTCTGCTTCTCTTTCTAGTTCGCCCCAATGTCAGATGACGAGAGTCCGGCGTCATCGTCAGCTGAAGAGTAGTCACAAGGGGGGCTGGAAGGGCCTTCTGGGGCCCAGCCAGCCCAAGTGAACCGTCGTCCCTCGCCCATCATCGCCTCCCTTCTCTTCTCCCGCCTCCCCCAACTGCCTCTCCCAAGGCCCAAGTCTCAAAGGCAGGTCGGTTTCCCCTCTTCTTCCCTGGGGGAGCCCCACATCCATGGGACTCCAGCTCCATGTGGGTTTTCCCTGACCCCCCCAGTGCAAAGCCACCACAGCGCAGACCGAAGCTAAATTCTCATCCAAGCCGGCGCCAGTGGCTGACGCTGGGGTGTGGGTTTTATGAAGAACATGGAGAAAAATCAGCCGGCAATTATGGGTGGAGGAGGCTGAGAGGGAAAAATATTGTATTTTTGAATCACTGTAGGGGAGGGGCAGGCCCCATCAGGAGTGGCCACATTTGCAGGTCACAGTCACAGGGATTGCATAGTTTCCTCCTAATCCTAAATGTTAGCATGCTCGGGTTGGTGTCCCAAGTGGCTTCACCTCCACATCGAATTGTCTGCTATATAATAGGGTTTTGTCCCTCCCCTCACCCCCAGACGGCTTTCTTGGGGGAATGTTTCTTCTGATCACATCACAAAACGAGATTGTCCTTCTCGTGTCACCCCAGGGCAAAAAGCTCATTCCTTTCTTCTGTGCATCACCCCCATTCAAACTGGGGGGGCTCAGGACCCTGTGGCCAGTACCCTGGGAGCTCCCGTGACTTGAAGGTAACCTAGTCACAAGGACAAATTACCTGGACATCCACCCCGCTCCCAGCACAGAGGCCTTGGCAAGTGTTAATTTTCCTAGAAAATCCTTCAGACCTACAGACCAAAGAAAAGGATCCGGTTCTCAGAGTGGCTGCTGCCTCTACAGCCCGGAACCGTAGACACAGGGCCGTCCTTTTCCTCCCCAGGGCTCCAGAATCTCTCTCCTCAAAGGAAAGAAAGCAGGGTATGTGCTTCTTGGCAAAGCACAGGCGAGCTCCAAAAATCCCATGTGTGCATAATTAAAAGTTGGCTGCCCCGTAGGATTCTGGGCACAGACTTAAAGAGACAGATTTGCCGAAAACCAAACAAGGGCCAGCTGGGTTTCTTTCCCTTTCTTTCTCTCTTTTTTTTTTTTTTAACAACCTAGAGACTTTCCAGAACAGAGCCCACTAGAAATGGGGCTCACCAGAGAGACTCACAATTTCCTTCTTGGCCTTTTTTTTTTTGTCTCCAGAATCTCCAATATGATTTCTTTCCTGTTCCTTTTCTTGGTAAACAAGAAAAAGAACAGGGTTCCAAGCTTCTAAATGTGCCCTGTGATAGTACCAAGTATGTGCCTTACCCTTTCTCACCTGGGTCTCAGCTGGCCCTCCAGGGCCTTGAAGCCAAACCTCCTTAGGGCAGAGGAGCCACAGGTTCACTAAGTAAAGCAAAGAGCTACCTTGCCTTCTAGAAAAAGTAGCTTCTTGGTTTGAGGTAGCCTAGCTTGCTTTGATTTTTATTGAAAGATATACTTAAGACCAAAAAAAAAAAACCAAGACTTGCAAGGGCCGGGCTTTGTGGTACATGCCTATAATCCTAGCATGCAGGAGGTGGAATGAGGAGTATCACAAGTTCAAGGCCAGACTGGGCTATGTAGAAAGATCCTGTCACAAAAAAAAAAAAAAAAAAAAGACTTGGATGGCCCAAGAGACTAGATGGATGGAGTGTGTGTGTGTGTGTGTGTGTGTGTGTGTGTGTGTGTGTTAGAAAACCAAACCAAAGCAGATCCGGGATCCAATGCAAGGCCATAGCTTTAGGCAGCTTTGAAAAGTGGTACAAGAACTGTGTGCCTTTGTGTCCATCCTGGAGCCAGCAAACAACTTTATTTTAAGCTCCTAGAAGCATCCCTCTGGCCCAGGAGTACAGACCGCAGCTACGGCCCTGTCTGTCGCTATTCCTTCTCTCTCCCTATCTCTTGGGCCCCGGGGTCAGACTTTGTCCTTGCTCACATATATTCATGACCTTCAATTTCACTCTCCGACCACGGTACGTTCATAAAGACAGTATTACACGTAAATGAAGTATTGTTTTTTGTAATCTTTTTTTGGAAGTTTAAAGAATTTAATAAATGATAGATAATGGTAGTGCCTCTGTGTCTTTGTTAGTTTGTGCTGTTCTTTTTGTTTAATTTTATTATTGTGTGGTGCTGGGTGTGGACCACACATTCTCATGCATGTTAAGCAAGTGCTCTAGCACTGAGCTACACCCCTAGCCCATCATTGTACTAATTTTTAAAGCTATTTCAACATAGAGCTGGGCGCAGTGGCTCACGCCTGTAATCCTAGCTACTCAGGAGGCAGAAATGAGGAGGATTGTGGTTTGAAGCCAGCCTGGGCAAATAGTTCTCTACCTTGAAAATATCCAACAAAAAAAATAGGGCTGGTGGAGTGGCTCAAGTGTTAAGAGTGCCTGCTTGGCAAGTATGAGGCCCTGAATTCAAACCCCAGTACCACAAAAATAAAAAAATAGTGTTCACTGGGCATGGTGGTACATGTCTGTAATCCACAGGGAGATGGAGGTAGGTGAGTCCATGTGTGAGGCTGGCCCAGGGCAAAAGCCAGACCTTGTCTGAGAAATAAAGCAAAACAGGCTGGGGTGTGGTAGAGCGCCTGCCTAGCGAGCTCTAGGCCCGCCTGCAAAACCCTGGTACCACCCAAATAGTAATGGCTCTCTTTAGTCTGGCGCTGTGGCTCAATGGTGGAGTGCATGCTTAGCATGTGTGAAACCCTGGTTTCCATCTCCATCACCAAAGGGGGAAAACTTTCAAAATGAACTTATTTCTCAACTATGCGGGGTGCCGGTGACTCATGCCTACTTGGGAGGCTGCGATCAGGAGGATTGTTTGAGGCCAGTCCTGGACAAATAGTTTGAGAGACCCTACAGCTCAAAAATACCCAAAACGCTCAAGTGGTGGATTGCCTGCCTAGCAAGTGTGAGGCTCTGAGTTCAAACTCCAGTACCACCACCACCAAAAAAACCCAAAAAGACTATTACAATAAACTCTTTTATACTCTGCTTTGGAGGAACACTGTTCAGGACTGTAACTACTAACCATGTGAAACTTTCTATTTAAATGTGGATGAATTGTAACTATTAGTAGCCACACATGACTGATGGCTACCCTTGTTACAAAAAGTTCTATTTACACAAACTGTGCAAATAAATCTTACTGATTTTTTTCACCATAACAAAATAGAGATTGAGCATTTGAAATCCAAAACTCTTGAAAAATCTACAATTTTTTGATGGCCCACATGAGGACAGAGTGGAAAATTTCAGAACTGACCTCATGGGATGGGTCAAAGTCAACACACGGGTTTGCTAAAAATATATCAAGTTACCTTTGGGCTCTGTGTACAAGGTGTGTCTGAAACATAAGTGAATTTTGTGTTTAGTCTTAGGTCCTATCCCCAAAATAACTCTTGTATATAGAAATACCTGAAAATCTTCCTTCCCCAAAAAGTCCTAAATCCAAATATTTTGGATAAAGGATTTTCAAAGTATAATTTATGGTGATTGTAAAACAATACAGAGTATATCAAAGTCCTGGACACCAGTGTCCCATTCAGCAGAAGTGCCATTGAGGGCTGGTGTGGCTCACCAGCAAAGTGTTTGCCTAGCCTGTACAAGGCCCTGGGTTCCAGCACTGCAAAAGAAAAAAAAAATGTCATTGTGAACGGTTTGGAGCATCTCCTGCTGAATCTTTTTCCAATACCTTTGGTCTTTTAAAAAAAAATTATTGTTTACTGTTTTAAATGCATGCCTTTTTGCACAAATGGTATATAAAAGCATTCAGGGGCCTGGCTTTGCTAACTGGTCCCCTGCAGTGGGACAGGAAGTGGAGTGTCTGGCTCCCAGCAGCCCTCCAACCCTGCCACCCCTTCTACTAACCATGATGTGATCTGACCTCTCCCCGGATGTCTCAACTTCCTTTGTCTCTCCCCTGTGCTGTTGAGCCCAGAGAGAGATCCTGGGTATTTTTCAGGCGTTTCTGGAAGTCCCAGACATTGAATGGTAAGGAGTGTGATTCCAAGCGGGAGATCCTTGGCTCTTGACAGTTTTTGAGGAGGTTGTGAGCCAAGAAGGGGCCTTTAGGAAATAAAAAATGGTTTCTCAGTTTTCTCATAAAGCAATTGCCAGAACTATTTTATCATATCTGTCTTCTTGTACAGCTCATGCTGAAGACCCAGTCTCCCTGTACTGTTATAGGAGGGTCAGCTATCCTGATTTTTTTCTTTTCCTGGTGGGACTGGGATTTGAATGAGGGCTTCACACTTGCAAAGCAGGCATGCTACCACTTGAGCCACACCTCCAGTCCATTTTTGCTCTGGTTAGTTTGGAGATGGAGGTCTATTTGCCAGGGCTAGTCTCAAGCCTCAATCTTCCTGATTTTAGCCTCCTGAGTAGCTAGGATTACAGGTATGAGCCACCACACTGGCTATATTTCTAATTTTTAAGGAATCTCCATTTTCTGTCCTCATCTACTGTGTGTAAGGGTTTCAATTTAACCATGTCCTCATCAGCCCATTAGTTTTTGAGTCTTCAGCATTTTCGTTTCTTTGTTTTGGAGAGCTGCCATCCTAATGACTGGGAAGTGGATCTCACTTTGCTCTTGGGGAAGGGCAGAGGTGGGTGGCCCTTTTTGACAGGAGCATTTATATCTGTCGGGCTCTGGTTGCTCAATGTCACATGGCATATCTGCTGGACAACCAGCCCCAGCTGATAAGAGAAGGCTATCTTTAGCTCCAGGATTTAGAAAGAAAGGTTAAGGTCATGAGTGAACTGCACAGCCAGAAATCGAATCCAAGTTCTAACCCCCCCACCCCCCCTCCACCCCCGCCCAAGTGCTGGGGGTGGAATCTGGGGCCTTGCCCATGACCTGGGAAAGCACTCTACCACTGAGCCACCCAAGGTTGCATCCTCCTCTTTTCCCCGAGAACTGTTAGGTAATTCACTGTGGTTAGGCCCAGAAAAGGCATGTGTCCCGCCAGAGTCACACAGCTGCCAATGACAGATAGTAATGCCAGCCTTGTGAGCTCAGCCCTGGCAGTGAGATCTGGCCACACCTGTGGACACCAGTCTTCCTGTGGGAAAAAGCTAAGGTGGCCTCATTTCCATAGGTGCTACTGAGGCCAGATGGATAGAGGAGGAGACAGGGAAATTATATTTTTAATAAACATTGAAATCACCACACTCAGAAGTTAGAATCAGAAAGTAAACTGGAAAAAATTTTAAAAAGCAGCAAGAATCCTTGATCGGTTAGAGGGACAGAAAAATGGCATGTCCAGCCAAAGGAAGTCCTGTTGTCCCTGTGTTTTGGGTGGGCCTGGATCACATCTCTATGTTGTAAATCAGTAGCACCCTTCTTGCTGTATGATAACACCTGTAGGTCACCTAACTGAATACCAGTATCATCTTCAGTTAATCCTCACGCCAACCCTGAGGGCAGCACTGTTGGACTGCAGAGGAAAGTAAGGCACAGAGGAGTAGTCCAGGGTAACACAGCTAGGAAAGGGCAAAACTGGGATTGGAATCCCAGAAATCTGGCTGCAGACTTAACTTTGTTAATACAATCTATTAGTTATGTCTGTCTGTGTATCCCAAGCACACGCTGTAGAACGTCCCATAAAACACAGTTCAGTGCTTCGTCCCTAGAACCTCGCCGCGCACGCAGCTGGCACCAGGTTTTGGGAGAAATACATTGGCTTGTTGCTCAAATCTTTCCAGCCTGCGCAGGCGCAATAGGCCGGTCTCGCGGCGCCGTCCCTTCCCTCCGCCGATTGGTCATTGAAGATGATTGATAGAGGAACTGGCGCTTGTGCACCAGGAGAGACCCGAAGCTACCGCCCCTATTCTGAGACGTCCCCTCCCCTCCCCGCGCCTATTGGGCACTGCTGACTGACGGAGAAGTTAGCCAATAAAAACTACGTCTCCGGAAAGGGGGCGTGCCTCACTTGCAGTCAAATTTGCGCGGGTTTGCCCTGGCGTAGTCATGGCGGCCTTCCGCGATATTGAGGAGGTGAGCCAGGGGCTGCTGAGCCTGTTGGGCGTCAACCGCGCCGAGGCACAACAGCGGCGGCTGCTGGGTCGCCACGAACAGGTGTTGGAGCGGCTTCTGGAGACGCAAGACGGCGCCGAGCAGCGGCTGCGAGGTGAGGGCCGGACAGAGGGCGCGGGGAGGCAGGGGCCGGGGACTGCGTGCTGGAACGAGGTGGCCAGGCCAGCTTCGAAACCTTCTTCCTCCCGGGCTCCCTTGTCCCCTTGCTCTTTTCCCCCACGAGATCGCTGAGGGGAGTGGGAGGGGCTGCCACCCTTGGGCCTCACTCATTCGTGAAATGGGTTAGGGTCCCAGGGGTTTAGCAGTAAATATAGGAGCTTGCAGGGTCTGACGCCTTATGAGCGCATCTTTAGCAGGAGTTGGAGGATGCAGGGTTTGAACTGGGGCTCAAGAGTCAGCTCCAGCTTGGTATCCCAGCATCTCTCTTTTTAGTTGTGAGATTTGAGGTTTTCCCTCGCTGTCATCCATTGTGGCAATAGTTCACGCCTTTCTCGAAGTTGTTCGACTTTTTTATTTATTTGTTTTTGCAGCACTGGGGTTTGAACTCAGGGCCTCACTCTTGCTAGGCAGCTCTCTACCACTTGAGCCACGCCCCCAAGTCCAGTTCAGACGTTTGATGGAGCACGTGCTGTGACCCCAGAGAACAAAACAGGATCCCCTACAGGGGCCGACATTGCTGGGGAGGGGGGCAGGAGACAGGATAAACAAGAAAAATCTGTCAGTCATCAGGTCAAGGATATAGACTGGGTTGTGTGACTAAGGCTGGTGACATTTGAGAGAGGCCTGCACCCAGCCTCTCCTGCAGGTGGGAGGAGCTCGCCTGTCTGCAGCTTCTCTCCCCAAGCCTGGTTCTCCTCATCTGTGAAATGGGGCTGCTGGGAGCTGGCCTGATGCCAGGGTTCCATGTTACACAGTGCATGCAGAGCATGGTGCCCTGGACAAGTGGGGCCTGTCCTTGTCACTGTGCTTCTCCCTGACAGGGGTTTTTGTTTGTTTTGGGTTTTTTTTTTTTTTTTTTTTGTGGTACTGGGGTTTGAACTCAGGCCCTTCACCTTGAGCCACTATACCAGCCCCTTTTTGTGATTTTCTTTTTTTTTTTTTTTTTTCAAGATAGGGTCTCACAGATTATTTGCCTGGGCTGGCTTGGAACCGTGATCCTCCTGATCTCTGCTTCCTGAGTAGCTAGGATTACAGGCGTGCGCCACTGGCACCCGACTTTTGGATTTTTTGTTTTGTTTTGTTTTTTGTCTTTTCTTTTTTGGTGCTGGAATCAAACCCAGGGCCTCACACGTAGGTAAGTGCTCTATCACTGAGCTACATCCCAGCCCTGAAGTTGTTTTTTTAGGTGGGACTGGGGTTTGAACTCGGGGCTTCCTGCTTGCAAAGCAGCCACTCTACCACTTGAGCCACACCTCCAATCCATTTTGCTCTGGTTATTTTGGAGATTGGGTCTCATATTATTTACCCGGCTGGCCTGGAACCCTGATCCTCTTGATCTCAGCCTCCCAAGTGGCTGGGATTACAGGTGTGAGCCACTGTTTTGTTTTTTTTGAGACAGGGTCTCCCTGTGTAGCCCAAGCCTGCCTCTAACTTGAGACCCTCCTTCCTTTAAGTGCTGGGATTATAGGCTTGTGCCACCATGCCCCAGTTTGTGGGTTTTTTTCTTTTTCTTTTTTAAATACTACTAAAATTTTCTTTATTGTGGCAAAATAGAGGTAACAAGAGTTACCATGTTAGTGACTTTGAGGGTACAGTTCTGTGGCATTCTGCACGCTCCCATGGTTGTGTGGCCATCCCCATCATCTATCTCTAGAACATTCTCTTCTTCCCAAACTGAACCTCTGTTCCTAGTAAACCCTTCCCACCTCTCCTCCCCTAGCCCCCGGCACCCACCATTCTGTCTTCTGTCTTTCCGAACGTGAGAACTCTAGGAACCTCTTTTGAGTGAAACCACACCCCATTTGTCCTTTGGGGACTGGTAGCTCTCTGAGCAGAATGTCCTCAAGGCTTATCTGTGGTGTCTGTTGCATATCAGAATGTCCTTCCTCTGTCAGGCTGACTCATAGCCATTGTACGGATGACCTCATTGTGCTTACCACTCATATTTTCAATGAGTAAATGGTAAAGTTTTCAGTTTTATCATTTTTACCACTTTTTTTTGTGGGGGGGACAGTGTCTCATTATGTAGCCCAGGCTAGCCTCAAACTCTTCTCCCCTCCACCCCTTTTTTTTTATGTTGGGTTTTTTTGAGACAGGGTCTGGCAAACTCTTTGCCCAGGCTTGCTTCAAACCACAATCCTCCTGATCTCTGCCTCCTGAGTAGCTAGATTAGAGGTGTGAGCCTCCTGCTTCACAGGCATGCACCATTACACCCAGCCAATGGATATTTTGGGGTATTGTGAATAGTGCTGCCATAAATATGGCATGCATGTGCCTCTTCAAAGACCCTCCTGTTCAGTTCTTTTGTGTACGCACCCAAAAATGGAATTGCTGGATCCATTGGTAACACAGTGTTTAATTTTTTGAGGAACTGTCAGAGTTTCCTACAGAAACTTATGTGCTCAGAATTTTTAATGCCTTTTTGGGTTTTTTTGTGGTACTGGGGTTTGAACTCAAGGGCTTACACCTTGAGCCACTCCACCAGCTCTTTTTTGTGAAAAGTTTTTTGAGATAGGGTCTCACGAACCATTTGCCCAGACTGGCTTCAAACTGTGATCCTCCTGATCTCTGCCTCCTGAGTAGCTGGGATTACCAGAGTGAACCACAGGCACCCTGCTTTTAATTCCTTTTTACAGTTGTGTTTTACAAGGAGGCCTCTGAGTTGAAGCTTGAATCATCTATGCAGCTAGCCAAGGAATGGCTCAGGGAAACTGTTCCTTTGCACGTGCAAAGGTCCTGAGGTGAGTGAGAGTGAACTTGGAGATCTACAAGATAGGCATGGTTGAGATCATCACAGCTCTCAGAAGGCCAAGGCAGGAGGATGGAGAGGTCAAGCCCAGCCTGGGCTACATAACAAAACCCTATCTTAAAGTAAAGTAGAAGATAAAATCTTGCCAGGTCTTGTGAACTCTTAAAGACAGAACCTTTCTTCTCTCTCCTTCCTTTTTCCTCCCTCTTCTCTGCTTCCCCTTCCACTGAGTGACTCAGCCTAGCTGGGTTTTCAAACAGGGGATGAGTTTGGGGGCTGCCATGCTCTAAGTCAAATAGACCTGGTAGACATGCCAGCATGGAAGCTGTGTGCTTTCCCTCAAAGCCCAGGACCTCTTTGAGCCTCTGTTCTTCACTTCTGAAGTGATGGGAGAAGTTTCACCACTCCCCTTGGGACTGGGGACAGAGCTCAGTGGGAGAGCACTTGCCTAGCAAGCTTGAGCCCCTGGGCTCCATCCCCAGAATCCTTTAAAACAAGCAAACAAGCTGGGTGTGGAGGTTCACGCCTGCAATCCCAGCACTGGGGAGGCTTCGAGAGGAGGATCAAGAGTTCCAGGCCAGCCTGGAATAGTAAAAATTACTATTTAACTCATAGTAAAATAAAGAAATACAAAAAAAAAATAAAAAGCCAACAAAGAACAAGCCCAACTACAGACTTAAGCGGTAGAGCACCTGCTTTGCAAATGTGTAGCCCTGAGTTCAAGCCCTAGTCCTACCAAAAAATAAAATAAACATGGGGACCAGCAGCTCTTGGGTTATCCTGTGGCACTTAGCAAACTTCACTTAGGTAAACAGTGGCGCCTTATGATGCATGTCCATGGGAAGTTATCACCGGGGGACACAGACTGGGCTGGCCTTGGCAGGGTGGGCTGAGAATGGGGGGAAGGCTGTGTCTAGCCAGACCCTCAGCCATCCTAACAGGAAATCGGCAGGCACCGTGGGATACGGACAGCCCAAGAAATAGCAGCCTAAGCAAATTATTTAGAAAAGTGGGTGTCAGTGCCAGAGAAAACAGCTCCAAGTTGAAAGTGGCCCCTCCAGGATGTGGAAAGTTCTGGAGAGGGGTATGTCTGGGTTATGTTTACCTTTTCCACTCAGATGAAACATTAAAGTTTTCCAAAACTTCAACATAGGTCCTTTTGGAAGCATTTTAATCCTGGATTTCTTGTAGTTGGCAAGTTTCTGTGACTCTCTAGAAGGGACACAGTGGCCTTCTTAAGATGTTTTTGATCTTTTCGAATGTTTTGCTCAACATGCAGCTAATTCTGGTTTGTTCCAAGAGACTCAGGGAGAATGAAAGATGAGGAATGTATAAATCAAGCTGGGCGTGGTGGCAAACGCATGTAGTCCCAGCTACTTGGAAGGCTAAGGCAGGAGCATTTCTTGAGCCCAGGAGTTCCTCATAGCGAGACCCCTCCTCCACACAAAAAGATTCTAAAGGACATCTGGGATCTGGGGATGTAGCTTAGTGGTAGAACTCCTGCCTAGCATGCTTGAAGCCCTGTTCAATCCCCAGCACTGGAGAAAAAAAAAAAAAAAAGATAAAGCAGATGTGCTGGGGAGCCATGGTAGGTGCTTGAGCAGGCAAGTGACTTTGCATTTGGCCTCTGACACAGCCACTGGAGAGCAGAACAGATGGTCAGGTAGAAGACAAGGAGGCTCAGGACTGGACCACAGGGCTGCTCAGCATGATGGCTCATTGGATGTGAAAGTAGAACTCTAAGCTTCGCACCGTAAATAAGTTTTGGAGCAGAGTATGGTAGTACACGCCTGTAATCTCAGCAAATGGAGCTGCAGACTGGAAGTGGGGTGTTGTCTGTAGACTGGGGTGTGGGACATCCCTCTTCTCTGGGCCCTCCTGGGGAAGGGCAGACACGAGAGAGCCTGCTTCTCTCACTACAGAGACCCTGGCGGTAGAGAAGGAAGTGGCCCAAAGCCTTCTTGAGTGTAAGGAGCATGTGTGCCAGAGGGGCGTCGAGCTGGAGCAGCTGAAAGCCGAGCTCCAGAAGTCGGCCGAGGAGGACGCCCGCCTGCAGAGCAGCCTCCTATATCCTTACCCCAGCCTCCCTAGAACACGAGCGTGGCGAGGGCTGGGATGGCGAGGGCTGCGGCTCAGGCAGAGAGCTTGCTGAGCACGCACCAGGCCCTGGGTTCTAGTCCCAGTACTGCACCTGGTGACATGGGTGGTGGCGGCCTTCCATCCCCCCAAAGCCAGGATCCTTGACCTGCCGCACTCAGCTCACCAGGGAGCTGCAGGAGCTCAGGGAGATGGAGGCTGACCTGGAGAGACAGGAGAAAGAAGTTGACG